ACTTGCTGTGTTTATATTAGAACGAAATCGTAAACTAGCTGTAAATTAATTGAATTAATTAATTAATTATATATTTTTTTTTAATTGTTAAATTTCAATACTATTCTTTTCTATACTATAATTTCTTTATAAAATTTATATAGATAATATATCAATTCTAATTTTATTAATTACAATGAATTATTTATAGTTTGATATATCCATTTTACTACAAAGTAAGATTACATACACAACATAAAAATACAAACAGAATTTTATAATCATAATACATTAAACACTTCAAGCGTCAATATCGTGACATAAATTTTTATTTCTACAATTAAGCAAAGAAAATGAGAATTATATTAAATCCGATTTATCGGAATTTTGTTTTGATTTTGAAAATTTAAATATTATAAAAATTCTAGCCCTTGAATTACTTTAAATGTTTTCAAAAATAGTTCTGAATAAATACTTCTAATCATTATTCGTTTTGCGTTAATTATCGGTATAAGACATTTGAAAAATAATATCTGAAAGACTTTTGAGAAAATGGGAAAAAGACTTTCTGGACGACATGATTTAATATCTTCACCTGGTTTTAGTAATATCTTTATTTTCGCAACTTTTCATTAAGATAGGATGAAACTTTTTGTCAAGAATACGTTTAAGAAATTTTTATCTGCAAATGTTTTAAGGATTTCAGCCACATAAAGGTCGTAACCAGGTGCATTTCAGTTTTTCAGAAAATTAATTTTCAAATTAAATTGTAGTAATTATTTTTCGATTGTTTAATTTCTTGATTGTTAATTCTATTGGATAGATTTCTTACAAGAAATGTAAAATAATAAAATCTATGACTGGATCGCTTCCCATATTATGTGAAATAAAATGCTCTTCAGATGACATGCAAATAGCTAAGCTTTTTCATGCGGGGATTTCTAGTTGGAGATTTGATAATCTATTATGTTTTTAATTTTTTTTGCCTGCCATTTAAGAACCATCTATAGATCTTTAATAATAATGATGTATCTGGTACAAGGTCATAGTCTTCTAGCCACGCATTTCTCTTTTAATTTTTTTGTGAAACACTCACTATAAGTTGCAAGATCTAGTGAGTAGACCTAGTTAGGTCTATAATCGAAGTTATGTAGCTTCGATTATTACTTCCTCAGTTTTTAAAAGCGTTTTTATGTTCAGAGACGATAACTACATGGTTTTAAATAAAGTTCAGCATTTTTGAGTGTTGCTTCTAAGCTTTTTATCTAACGTGATAACTACTAGCTACTGGTTCCTGTTGAGAAACCTTCAGTAGACTAGAAATATCTTTTATTTCTTAATTCATGTTTGTGATTTTTTTATTGATTGATTTTATTTTTTCTTAACATCTGTTGGCGAATGACTATTTTTATACTGGTTTCACACGAAAGTTTTGTTTGTAATTTTAGCAATCATTTCAAATCATATATCATAAGCGCAATCTATTTATTATAAGTATATATCCTATGTGTAAAGATTATATTTTGTAAAAGTATTTATTATGAAACGAAATATCAAATTACAATTCTAAGGCGTGTGAATCAATAGCCTGACTTTTTGATTTCAGATATCAATTCAAAATTTTTGACAACTAAAATTACAATCAAAACTCTTGCATGAATCCAGTATAATATTGGTGAACAAAACCTTTTTTACCGAGAGGGGTGTTTTGGTATACAAAACCTTTTTTACCGAGAGAGGTGTTTTATTAAATAGCATATATCAAAATAATATAAATTTCGATTTTTATTTGAATTAACACAAGTACACAATAATTTTGGATTAAGTTTGTGTAAAGTTCGATCGTTATGCAACACTATTTTGTCACTGAACATTAATTATGTAAATTCTCTGTCTCTATCAGCTGATTTGGTAATATTGTATGTTATAACACTTGTACCAGATTTTCAAAAGTAAATAGTTTGTTTTGTGAAAAAGTATTTGTTTATAGTTTTCTTAAAAGAAATCGCTGAATGATCGATATTTGGACATTCGCGGAAAGTCTTTTGTCTTTTTATTACAATATCTGAACTTTTCGATTGGATTGATAATTTTGTACAGGATTTTTTAACTATAAACCCATAAAAACTAAGGTAAAATATGAACTGTAAATTATGAATGACATAAGTGTTCAACATCTGGTGATATGAACTGAAAGAAAATAAAATCAGAACTAACCCACCAATTATAGGTTAATGACCCGCTGTAGTGCCACAAAAATAGTGTTGGTTCGTACATAGACTAGAAGATCAGTATACGACCAACGCCGAAAAAGACAACGACTCCCGCATTGAGTAAAGTTAAACTAACCTGACAATTCTTTGAACTTTTCCAAAATCGATGCGAGCAACCTAGCTACAATATGTGTGATAAAATGACAAACAAAAAGGATACTACAATACAAGATAATATGTCTATGCGGAAAATAAAAACGATGACATAATAGTTAAAAGAAACTTTTATAATCAAAATTCTCAAGAATAGAATAGCTCTGTAGCAATAGAAAAGAAGTCGCACTTACATATATACATATATCCGCAGTGAATAAAACCTGCGAATAAAATTTTCTGAATTCCTATAAGAGTCTCTTCATTTTCAACTGGAGAAAAAACATGCAGAATTACAAACGGAGCAATCGCAAATTAATCATGCAAAAAGCTTGCTATTCATCCATTGCACAAATCCTGTAAGAAACTCTTCATTTCTAACTGGGAAAGAAACAAACAGAATTCCAAGCAAGTCGATCGTACATTAATCATGTTTGCTCAATATATTACAATATTTAATTGTGTCGTCGTAGATTTTGAAAAAGCTTTTGACGATATTACGAGAAACACGATCCAGACGCACCTGCAGATAAAAGTATTCTAATAAATACTAAACTTAATTAAACTAACCTAATGAAATACACTAACAAGAATTTAACTCGAAAATTTTCGCGATTAGCAAATCATAACTAAGACCGAAATATATTGGAAATATTCGCGGAAATACGAATAATATATCTTATTTAGAACACCTAGACTATGCTAAGGACATATTATTTTATTCAAACAAAGAATAGAAGCAATCATAGAAGAAACAGAAATAAAAGAAACATACAATCGTTCCCATAATAATGATTATTTCTGCTACGTTGGGTGTATAATTTTAGACGATTCGGTGAAGTAGCCACCCTATACATTCATAAAGCTGAAGTAACTTTAATATCCTTACAAAGCATAAGGAGATTCAGCATACCGTCACTGACAAAAAAGTAAAGACAGATATATAACTTGGTAATTTTAGATACTTCCTAAATGAATTAAGTAAGAATTCCTAGATGTGTACTGTGTAGGCTATACCACTTTTAATCTGGATACAGAAGTAGACTTAAACACTTTAACGTATTCATTAACGTATTGGTTCCCTGCAACATTCGCATAACCCGGAATTTAATCTAGAGATACCTTGAAGTTTCTGCCGATAACGTTAATAATTTATCTGCAATGCACAAGGTGTTTAAAAGTTACTTATGTTATTTGTCAGCATGCTTTTAAATGAAATCTATAGGATAACAAAAAAGAAGGAAGACGTTTAAGCACCTGGTGCCATACTGTATTGAGGAAAACGTTCAAAATACTCTCGAAATGATGTTAACGAGCTTTTACAAAACTATACGCGATTCAAATGGCGAACCATGACCCTGTGCTCTTCAATAAATTAAAGGATGTTAAAAAAATTTAAATTTTTGGAGAACAGAAGTTCTATTTGGAATAGATTAAAATAGAAACATTAAAAGTGGAGTTAATTTTTCATAAATGATATAATAGTATATATTGAGAGAAACTTGGAACTTCATTGGTTATTTCGTTTAAATTTCTTTTTTTTGCTAATCAAATTTTATAAGCATGCCTACGCCTCTGTGACGTATCCATAATTTGAATTCCATATATTATTATTATAAGGTGACAATTTGTAATAAATGAGCTTAAATTATCAGATGAAAATATAAATAGTGAATCCAATAAATTCAAAAAACATAAATCAAAAAATTTATTTTCTGAACTACTACATATAATTTATTGGAATACAAGTTAAATTTATTTGAATTCTGTTAAAAATCCATTTTGAGGTCAGAATAAAATACACAATTTATGCAATCGACGATATAAATTCTACACCCTTTGCCCCGCAAAAAACCTTGCTTCCAATCAAATTATAACGATGAGACAAAAAACAATAGAAAAGCGGATTTACGCTTTTAAATAAACGAGCTTAAAATGAACAGAAAAACGACAATGAAAAAAAAGCCAAAAATGTGAAAAAGATCCTTAAAAGGATACAGTGCGAAACTGACAGAAAACTCATATATCAAATAATATTTAACACTTACGTACTGGTTGGTACTGGTACAGAACGAGAACGTTTTAGAAATGAGTTGAAGTTAAAGAGTACGTGGAAAAAAGATACAAAAGAAACTGTGGAAAACGATAAATTTCCATCAAGTTAGTTAACCATGGAAATTTAACACTCCCACTTGCACGTGCACATTCGCAGGCAACACAACAGAATCATCTTCATTATCATCATTCTGCCATCAAAGAGTACAGCAGAAATGATTTTCGCACGGAAGTCGATTATTTCGTTAGTTTTGTCAGTATGAGAAGAGCCAGACTAGATACGGCAAGGCATCGTATGCACTGTAAGGATTTTTAGGTAGTGAAATGCAACGAAAAAAATCTGCCATTGAGAAATTTAAAACTGAAAAATTAAAAAAAAGAAATAAACTTAAATAAAAAATGTGGTAAATGTGAAATTTGTACAAAATTGTATATGAAATTACTAAAGCATGTTCACCGCCATCGAATGTCAGGCTGTCTATGCTCTGTCAGTTTGTTTACTTATATTCTGTTTCATTTTTAATTTTATTTTCAGTTTTATTTTCAATTATATTGTTTTTATTTTATTTTTATTTTTTTATAGATTTTTTTTATATTTACCTGCTTGCACCTGCACATTGCGACTCAATATTGTGCCGGCTTCATTGGTTGCACGGCATCGGTAGGTTGTCTCATGTACGTCTGTGCGATAATACTGCGCCAGGAATGGTGGGAAGTATAAGGTACCATTGCCAGCAATTTTTCTATACAAAATTAAAGAGCGATAATTTATGATTATATACTTTTGAAATAATTTGTATTTTGTTTTATGTTTTTAATTATAATAAATAGCAAGACCACAAAAATGAGAATTTTAAATAAGAAATGATTTCGTTGGTCAGTTAGTAATTAAAAATTATTTTGAAAAGACAATGGGATTATAATAGAGAAATTTTCAAATCCAATAAAATTTTATTTTTTTGAAAAAACAATAATTTATAATTATTATGTTGAGGAAAGTTGAGTTAGTGCACCTGAGCACTTTTACTCTATATTAACTGCGAGGTTTCTTCAAAACCCCTCTTTGTGCCTTGACTGGATTATTATTTATCTCATCATCGGACTAAGTAATAATTGATCTCAGATCTGCATACCTCCCCGAGGAGCCTGTAACTATTCTGAGATTTGATAACGCGGTGTTAGTAAGTCTGTCAGATTTCGCAAATAATTTCAAGGCTCTATCTTTTATGTATTTTTTGATGGGATCAATCTTGAGGTCCCTAAGGATGTCATTCGTCCTAATATACCAAGGAACTTTGAAAAGTCTTCTTAGAGCCTGACTTTGTGCAATTTCTAATTGGTGAATAGTAGTGTTTGAAGCTTTGCTAAACGCTACACAACCATATAGAAGTGACGGACAAATTATTTGGTTATATATCAGTTTCCTGTTCTTAGCATTGAGGTTTTCTTTTCTAAATAGCGGTTGGAGGTAATGAAGAATTTTGGTACAGCTAATTCTTTTCAGTTGAACATGTTTAAGCCATGTGAATCGTTTGTCCAACGTGATGCCGAGATATTTAACGCTATCCTCCCAGTTTATCACCATATCACCCACTCTCACTCTCGACGGATTCTGTCTCCACTTACGCGTTATAAACAAAGCCTTAGTTTTTTCATTATTGATTTTTATTTTCCATTTCTGAAAATACTCCAGAATGAGGTTTATATGCTCTTGAAGTGTGTTCGTTATGTTGAGAGCACATTTATCAGAGTATAGCATACACGTATCGTCAGCATATAACGCCAGAGTCGAGGGACCTAACATTGGAATATTATTTATAATAATTAAGGTAATTTATACAGCTGTGGTTTATGCGTTAGTACTTGTAAATAACACAGCAAGTACAATAATACAACTTAAGTGTACATTGACTTTGACAGGGTTAAATTCCTGACACTTGCGATCCAAAAATTATATACAGCCAATTAAATAATAGACATAGATACAGACACAGCCACTGATGGTAGTGTTATCCAAAACAGGTATGTATAAACAACGTACTCAACTAAAGTCAGAGTACTACGACAACATTTACTATAATTGAACTGCAGAAAGAACCGTAGTACTAGTAGACTTTCAGCTAATCATATCTTTGACATCACTCAGAGTAGTTGCTCATTTAACGCGATATCTGTTGTTAGAAAAAATGACTATCAAACTGCCAAAAATTTATATATAAAATGTATTTAATATTCTTTTTCTTTTTTGTTTAATAATCGTCGTTTTCGTTGGCATGCATGCTGGCCTATATTGGCTTCGCGAGCCATTGGCATCACTGTTGCAATCTGTCAAGTGTTATGTTATAAAAATAAATAATTAACATAAATTGAAAATTAAATTGAAATTTATGAAAATTTTGAATTTATTTACATATAAATTTTGACATATGATTGCAATATTTGTTGGTATTTCCAATGAAGGTTCACAATAGTTCGCTTATTGCGTTGGTAACACTTATTTTGGCTGGCCAAAGTGCTTGGCTATACCGTGCCATAACGGCCGAGGTAGAGGAAATAGTGAAACTTTTTCTGGAAGAACTGTCAACATCTTTCAAAATATCTTCCACCTATATTCGCCATAATTGTCTTAAAAGTATGATGTGCATAAAAAAGTACAATTCTTCCACCCCATTTACTTTTAATGTTTGTTTTGTATTTATTTCATATTATTTTCTTTTTTTGAGACCAAAATACATTTAATTTCTATAAGACTTCCTTTTATTAACCTATAAATCAGAAATGGTCTTGTTGCTTCTCTTAGAAATCAATTTTATGTAAACAAGAATATTTTGAGACTTTGCAAACTACATGAACTATGAACATAAACAAGAGTATCTAAACTATTGCTGGACATTCTATAAAATTCTCATAAATGTCACAAATAAATTTGCACAGTAAGAAAAATGTAGTACATATTCATTCACAACACTAAGCTTTGCACACTGGAAATGTGATCACGTATTCCAAATGACATCGAATTTGTTGCTGTAAAAATTACTGAAATGACTTTTGCGAAGAAAGCAATTTTTTATTTACTAAATTTGCTAGTGGAACTAACAGAGGACACAAGCATAAACTAAATTTTTGTACCAAACTTGCCAGTACATCAAATAAATGATTTCAATTCTCGCAACAAACTTCCAAGAGTGCCAAGTTACTCACAGCAATAAATCCATAAGTTTGTTTGACAAAGAAGACACTTCTGCAACACATGTTCTCTTGCAGCGATGCACATTTATATCGTGTGCAAGCACCGCATTTGATGGACTCAAATATGTGAAAAAATAAAAATATTTTCTAAAATATATTATTTGCATGCTTCCTTAAATGTCACATTTAGGGACAAATATTTGCTTAGAAAGCAGTGCACAATGTGTTATGCCAAAAGGAATACAAAGGATGCAAGCGAATCAACAGCAAGAAAGAATGCATTTTCTTTGAAAAATGTTCTCCGTAAAAAATAACATCCATAATGATAAAACCATTTTATATTGCCATTTCTTAGGTTAGAATTATTAATATTCAAGACAAAGAAGTTTTTATATATTTAACCGTACTATAGTGTCGGGACCTTACCTTACCTTCCGTCTATTTTAACCCTACGTATAGAGCTTAGCTGTAAGTTGACAAGGCACAGATAAGCGCTCTAAATGTGCTACTTTACAGCACTGTTTTCTGCGGTGAATTGTTATTGTGGCACGAGGTATGACGCGAAGTTGTGTTATGTGAAGTTAGGTATGTGAAGTTATCGATAACAGCAACGAACAATAATGACTAGCATCAAATAAACTACCATATAAGCAATTTAAAATTCCTGCAAATTTATTTTAATTTTTACCTAAACATTCTTACCAGAACAAAATGTATATAAAAATCAAACACAAATCAATTCATTTTCAATGTCAATTTATTGACGAAACATTACTCAATTTTTTTTTGATTCGAACATTAACTTTCTGCGTAATTGTTAACACCTGTTTTTTAAATCTTATAGCCAACGAAATGAAGCTTTCCAATGCATTCACCTACAAAGAACCAGGTGCCAATCTCAACTGCGACAAGGGTGTTTAGCCAGATATCACGGATAGTTAGATGTCTGAATCTAAAAAAGACTGCCGACTTTCCCAAGTTCAGTAGAGCCTTACCAATTTCAGGAATTTCAGCAGGCTTAGGTGGAATTAGCTCAACCTCAGCATATTTCTTAAAAGTTTCAAATCTCGGCTTGCCTTCAGTTGCCCACATTTTGGTCAACACGACCTTGTAGTGGTCCACATACTTTGAATAGTTCTTCAAATAGTTAGCCATTTCCGCTTAAATTAGAAGTGACAATAATTCCAGCGGCAACAAAGAATACTGCTTTAACAAAATATACGTCCTTACTATCGTATGGTTAAACTTAAACTGGAAGATATATATTTTTTCTTACACAAGTCAGACTAATTTTTTTGGCGGCTCACACACGGCAAACTTGATTGATTTAAATGTTTTTTTTGTTCGATGTACGATTGCACAAAGCTTTGCGTTTACATATAAAATTTAATCGTTGACCACATAACGTATTTGTTAATCATACTTGAATTTCAAAGGTATATATGTACTTTCAAAAGTCATGGAAAAGAGAGCACACATGAAAATAGTGTTATATGCAAAATTTCATATGAATAATATAATGTTAAATCTATGAAATGTGTAATATTTTAAAATATATTAAGTCCTTCTAAATATGTTTAACCTGAGCGTAATATGAAATGCTACGAGTTGCTTTCACACTATATCATCCATATATATTAATGGAGAATATAGTGTATAAACATGGCATAACGCATGAACTTAATAAAGTCTATAAGCCAACAAACGGGATACATAAGCCAGTTGTATTATAAAGCACCCATGTAAAATATCTAACAACATCCAAATATATATCTTAATCTATATGTTTATATAGATATAGTTTAATAATTAAATTTGTATATTGATCAACATATTATACTTAAATAAACAAGTTATAAATAATTGGTACTGTCTGGGTGAAAGTTATAATTAAAATTTGAATTTGTCGCATGGTTTAAAGAAATGTATACAAAATGTATAACCCTTAGAATATGCCTTACATACAATTCATTTCAATTTTTTTACAAAAGACAATAAAAGAATACGGAAAATGGGTATTTAGTAATACTTGAAACAACTATATGGTCAGCTAAAAATTCAACTAAAATTTTTGACCATTAAAATATGGTCAAACTGGAAAAAACTTATTTATTAATATAATAGTTTCTATTATTAAAATAGTTTGTGTATTCATAACTGACTTTATCATATTTAATATAAAAACTTAAAATATATTTTTTATATAAATATTGTTTTTAAACAATATTTAAAGGTGGAAATTAAGATGGTACAGAGGATTATTACAAAGTAGAGGTGGGAATCAGTTGAAACTCACCTATATAAGGTGAAAATGTCTTATTACCTCAATTAAACAAACTTACAATGTAAGCCGACGTTATTGTAACTGAAATATGTAGTGTCAAATGAAAACAGATAGATACCATCATAAGTAGTAGAACAATATTTGAAGTACGTATCAAAGACGTATTGATACATAAAAAATATTTAACATGTAGGTACATACAGATTACAATTCTGTCAACACAGTTCTCAATGCTTTTCATTTTTCATATCTGAATATTATTGGCTGCTGTTAACATTAATGGTCATACAATATTAAATATTGTATGCTAATGATGTTATGTTATTAAAATATACATATTAATAAACGTATGACATAACATAAACATAAAAACCTAGTTATAATCCCTTTTTAAAAAAAATTGGAAACTCACAGAATACATCTCAAATAGTATGTTGTGATATATTGCAGATAATTGTAGGAAGAAATTTTATAAAATACAATGTATTAAACAAAATTTAAAAAACATCCCGGAAGCCTGTGACCTAAAGATACCACAGAAAAATAACCTCTTAATGGATTAAAACTATTAAACAATAGGGTATCCACCATTTTTATTGCTTTATATTTTCTTTACAATTAAGAGCTGTATATACTTTGACCAGAAATCGATTTCGAATGAAAGTGGGAATAATAGTGGGAACATTTTTAAAGACATTACTGGCACTTATAGCTCAAAATTTATGAACAAACAATGGATGCATTCAAACACAACTGATTATGGATATATGGCAGTATCCAAAACAGCTGTTTGATTAGCCCAATAATTCACTTGATTAAAATCATATGTAATTTATTTACACAATAATCACAAAGACAACTACAACAGATAATATTTAAACAACATTAAAAAACTAAAAGTTTAAAATAATAACATATTATTTTGTCAACAGGTGCTTTTATTTTACACTACCCGCGTGTGTCCTGCTTCAAAAATTAGTGTTCTGAATATCAGCTGCGCACAATAAATCTGTCTAACTCTCTCTAACACATATGTATGAAATCTAGAAATACAATCTAATGATTTTATTTTTTTTAAATAATCATATCAGAGTTGCAATTTAATAAAACCCTTTTTTAATTTACTTTAAAGATATTACTCATATAGTGAGCAGTGTGGGTAACGTATTTACATTAAAGTAACTTTTATGTTCATTACGAATTTCTTCACATTTTATTTCTTTTTTAATATCAGCAATATATGCTGATATATTTCTTCTCTTAATTTTCATTTTTGTACATAAATTTTCTTAGATAAAAAAAGCGTTTTCCATTTTAAGACAATAAGCTACATTTAACCTCTGCTTGTTTGCAGTAGTACATTACACATTTGACTCCACTTTTAATCCTTTAGTCAGTGTACCAGGCAACCAAGCGTTCATTCGCCCTGTTGTTTTAACTTTGTATCTTTTATGAGGGCATGGATAACAGAAACTCAGCTTTTATTGTTCTTTGTCACTTTTGTATGTTTGCTGTCAAATGAATGTTGTATCCTTATTGTAACTAACACAACAGGAGCTTAAAGAGGAAAAAATCTTTTGAAATTTTTATTTTCTGTGGCACCATCAAAACCGCAACATTGATTTTGACAGGTTTTTTCTTCAGTCATTGTGCTGGAGTTTGCCACATTTTACACATCCGCAAGACGCGCTGCCACAATTTCTCCAACTTCACCGCACTTTTCCAGGTTTTAAAACTTTTGTTTGAGTCACGTTCACATTTTCATAAAGAGTTTATGTTTCTAATGCGTTTTTATTTGCATCAACGCTGAATTGAAAGAAAACGTGCTGAATTTACTTAAAAATGTTTGAAATCCAATCTTCTGTGAACTCAATTCTCTGAGAGTTTAATGGATTTGCTAATATGTAAAATATGACAAATGATATCATTCGAAAGAAAGACTTTTAAATCACTTTAAAATAAGTTTTTAATAAATCACAAAAATGTTGGATATAAGTTTTATATTTACTATTACAAAAAAAACACTTAAATTGGCTCTTTATAAATACAAATATAGCTGAAGAGATGAGTACTCACACTGTCACGGAGAACATAATTTGTAGTACCATACCATAAGGACTACTGAGAGCAGCATATGTTACCATCGTTGCAGTTCAGCAACAAATATGAGAGGAAGTTTTATGAACTTGACAAGGACCACCAATTGATATTTTTAAAAAAAAATGGATCTTCTATCAAGTGTGTGATGTTTAAAATAATACTGAAATCAAGTTCTACCAGTTCACCTAAAATTATTAAGAGTGACAATAGAACAGAACTAGTTCTAAACCAATTTCATTCATTTACCAACTTAATCTGTGCTAATTTAAAAACGTCTTTATGCAAGGGTTCATGAGATTATATATAGCCAAAGGAATTTTTAATTAAGAATATAAGGTGTAATTTATTAGTAGTTCGAAACGAAATTGAATTCTTTCCCGACAGAGGGCTTAATTGTATTTTTTCACAGCCACCTTTTTACTTAAACCGCATAATCATTACTTATTTCGACAGCTGATACTAGCAGGACAGTCTGCGAAGAAATTTGATTGGTTCTGCACCATAATTTTGGATTGGAACTCTTGTAAATAGAAAAAAAGTAAAAATACTGTTATGTCGAGTATAGAGGGTTGACAAAATTCAAGTTCCAAACTTAGTTGATAAAATTTTGTTCCAGTCATTTTAATATTAAAAGTGAACCACGTTATCAAAAGTCAGTTAAAGCAGATATCTTTATCTACATCATATATCTTTATCATAATGGTATTAATTTATGTAATCCGTCGGATAACAATTGGTGAGTTAACTTAATGATTAAATTTATCGAATTTGAACATTTATGATCATTTCATATGACTACGTATTACCTTAATGCTCAACATAGGTATGGTTTTCTCAACATCTTCCGGAAAGAAATTTGTGATGTCCTATTGACGTTTGCAATTTAATTCATTAATTAAATTAATTTTTGAAAGACATTATGATAGGTGACGAAAAATATGTTCTTAACAATAATATCTATTGTAAGGCATAAAATAATGAACTGGCTTAAAACACTTCGAAAGCTAATAGTTATCAAATAAGGTGATGCTTTTATCGAAAAACAACGATTAATTGTGTATCATCAAATAGACTATTTGAATAAGTTTTAACACATTCTTAGAATTGAACAATAAAAAAGCAGTAATGTTGCTTCAAAAAAATACAAAACCCCATAAAATTTTAGTAATTGCCAAAAGCTTTTACAGCTTAGATGAGACATATTGCCTCATATAATATATTTAAATGGAAAAAGGTAAGGGTTAAGAATGGACAACATATAATTCAATAAAATATTTTTTCTTCATCTTGTCTTCTTTACTTGATGAAACGCGTGTTAATGTCTGAAGCACTTTTACTAAATAATGTCTGTGACCACTTGGATGATCTATTGTAATAAGAGCTCCATTAAATTCTGATTGTAAGTTATACAGTTGATTTTATGGTTATACTTTAAAGTCCCGCTTATCTTCCTGTCAGAAAATATATATTGTATTTGATCTGAGATAGTGAAATTCTGAATTATTGTGCACAGACAATATACTATTGCGTGCTCTCGACTCTTAAGTCTTTGTGTATGTCTTCATTTCTGATGCACTATGGAACATTTAGCATACGTTTCAGTACAATATTCTGATAAGTTTTCAGTTTTATTAAAAAAAAATAAACTAAATTACTTGCAGAATAACTTTTTATAAACTTTGACACCGTCTTTACTGCGCTACAAATACTTAAGCAAATCAAATATATTGACAACACCGTTGGAGGTTATCAAAAATAGTATACCAAAATGTTCAAGGATTACGTTGTTCCAGCAATGCAAATATACCTGAATTGATATATTTTGATTAAACCCTTTATATATTCAAAAGCTTGAATATATCTGTTAACGTTTCTGTTTATTTTCGTTTTATGTTAGATAAATGCGTTCAAGTCATAACTTTGTTCATGTTAACACATGCTCGAGCTGCGTATGATGATCGAACATATGTGAATGGCTCGCTGAAATCGAGCCAAAGGCTCATTGTTTCGGGTAGCTTAAATAGTATTTAAAATAATATTTGAAATATTAAAATTAGTTTACTCTTGCACCGTTAGCTCTAAATAACGTTTTTTCAAATATAATTTTATTTTGCGACTACATATAACTTTTGCTGACAGCATTTGCTTGAGCTAACAAGTGGTTGACCGACATCAATTAAAGAAACTTGTGTCATTACAGCTAATATGAATTTATACAAAACAATCACAAAGTGAATAAGGCCATCCAAGCATTCAAATCTCATAATTGTAGCCGCTCGCCAGTACATCTACACGATCGCAACCGCAAATATGTTTGCGGTAATAAACCAGAGGAGAAAATGTAATTTTCAATTAACAACTGAAAATTACACAACAAAAGTTGTTTAACAATAAAATTATGCAAAGTGCACTTGTAGCTTGTTGAGCACATTTACTGCCGTTGCCGTTGCCGGTCTATGATTGTGTGGTTCACATGTGCGGCTTGCTAGGAAACCACAGAAGTCACCGCAACACTGGAGCACACTCCAAAGTAAGTAGATGCAACAGTGGAGGCACCAACTTATAACTAAAGCCATGAATGCCACAAACATTAAAAAAGACTAAAAACGATAGAAAAAACTAACAAAACTGAAAATGACATGTTGCTGCAACAGAACGGTTCAACAGGATACTACTTTCGAAGCATATCGCTTAGGTTTCTGTGAGTGTACGCACGCTGGTGTAGTTGCAACAACCGCAACTTTACTTTGAAACACTAATTAAAAAACTAAACCAAACCGCACGATTATGGCACAAAATCAGTTGAAATCATATCATTATAATAAGCAGCTATCGCAATAGAGCAAGGAAGCGAGCAGCAGCAATAGTAAAATACACATAGTTAGGCAGTTTTAATCCTGCTTGGCTGCAATGAAGCCGCAATAATGTGACCCTCAACCAAACTAATCCGGATATGAGAAAAATTAACGTTTTTAAAACTTCAACTTACCTGAGCCCTGGTACTTGAGTTGCCATTGTGCCATCCTTAAGCACCCATGACACAACCGGCTGAGGATTGCCGTGCGCTGTGCATGTAACCTGTGTACCAGTATCGTTGCTAAAGAGCAGTCGAGGCGTGGGTTCCTGTATAAAGGTGGGTACACGTAAACCGCTTGTGGCTTTCGCAGCTGGCGGTGGCAGGACAATAGTTAACAGCACTGTAATCTGTAATAGTGGTGGGGCAAAAAGGGCAGCTGCAAGTATACCAAAATATAAACAAAAATGAATAAATATTAAATAAAATAAATATAAATTATTTTTGGTTAAGCAATTTCTTAAAGCGCTTGTATACACGACAATTTCAAGTGCTTTGTAAGCAAAAAAAAAATATATACTGTATGTACTCGCATTTTAAAAAAATTTGCTTTTTATTTGCTTGTAATTTAAAACTTTGTTTTGCAGTTAATAATGCTCAAGAGGACCACTTCATAAATGCGGTTAATTTGAGCTTCGTTTGCCTTAAGCATTTGCCAGCTTAAGTGCCATATTCATATGTAAACCAACAAAAAAGTAGTAATGCTGCAGTATTATTTGCTACTACTTTTTACTTAATTCAAACACTGAAACTGCCAGCAACTGCGAGTAGCAACAAAACTATATCTTGCAGCAACCACATACCGCCGCACATATGCACTGCGTATCCTGCATTATCCTGAAAATTAGTGCTTCTTAAGCATACGCCAATGTGGCAGTGCGGCTTGCGCGGATCTGTTATGCTGTTCGCGTTTAATTCCGAAATTTAGTCTAAATTCCTATTACAAAACAACAATTAAATTCCATCCATTATTTCTCTGTGAAAATAAGTTTTGCGTGTGCACGGATTGTGGTATTTCGAGGATCTTAAATGCGCTTAAATATTTCTTACCTTTTGCCTTGAATACTGACACTGGAGCACTCATTGCTTTGCATGTGTTCTTGTGTGGCTGTTTAATTCACGGAATTTCACTAGTTACTATGGTGGTTTTTATCCGGATTGTATAAGTATATATGGGATGGCTTTAGAAATTTTCAGTTCTCGTTATTCCTGAGCAGTCTAAAAAGAAGCAATAGAAATGATTATAACTACTGGCTTTGACTGCATAATATTAATATATTATATAAATAATCTTAGAAAAACTTGTAATAATTTTCCAATTAAATGATTACTTAATGCATATATTATACTTAAACAAACACATGCCATTATTGTGAGTAATTTTGAGTACAAATAAATAATAAAAAATTGAAAATTGAACCTAGAATGATCTGTGAATGATCCGTGTATGATCCGTTAGACAAGGTGGAGGAAAAATTTCCTCTTCTAATCATTCATCAAATACAAGAACTCTATGGTATAAGCTTTAAACCACAGTCTATTGAGGTTAACTTTGAGTGCAAATATGTTAAATAATGAGAAATTAAAAATCAAACTTAGAATGGTCTGTAAATAGACAACAAACACGTTGGAGGAAAAATTTCCTTAACAATCATTGATCGGAAAGAAAAAACTCTTACACGTCTATTGTATATGCCTTAAAACAGTGTCGCAATTGTAACAGAATTGCATGGGTACCATAATCACAACCAATCAGATGTCCTCAAATGTATCTTACTAATAAGATATTGGAAGGCAATATATATTACATTTCTCACCAGCGGCTACTGAATCAAAAACCAATACGATGTCAACATCGCAATATAGTTCATACAGCTCAGTTTTGAAAGAGACCATAGATCTTCCCAAGAGCTTTTGCGTCGTATGGCCCTAATGTCTTCACAGCACCGTTAGTTATAATTACGTTTAGATATGATAAGGCCATATAAAATAAGAGCCCCAAATAACATCTATTGGCATTCAATGATAATCCGTTGAATCTCTTGACTAACATCATTTTTAATGCTAACCCTGGTTCCCTACTGAACAAAATCTGAACAAACTTATAGTTTTCAACAGTGACGTGGGTCTCAACACGCTCAGAAAATATGTTTATTAACAGAAAGTGAAATATTGTGTCTGTACGGTTCACATCTGCTACTCGGATAGCCGTTTTTAACATTCGATTTAAGAAATCAAGAAGTTATCCTATCTAAAATCACGTTTAGTATCAAATAGCTCAATACTTCACAATTTTAACGGAACTAGAGCTACTTAATGTCATTTAACAAAGCCAAATAAATTTTGTTAGGACACCAAAATCAAACATAGCGATATAAAGAATGCTTCTAGTGGTAGTATCTGAAGTGGCTTTAAAATCGACAAATTAACTGCATGTAGCAATTTATTTTTCTTAGATCAGTGCTCTCCAGAACTTTACCCTCTGTGGATATATAGTTACTGATAAGATCTAATCAGTTGGTTGATGATTTCAAACGTTTGGTAGAAACTTATGTGGGATTTTTAAAGGACTGATTCAGTGATAATTGGTGCAACTTTTAAAATATCTGTTTCACAAAGGATAGTTAAAAACTACCAAAATTTGTAAAAACAACTATTTCCAAAAATTCCAATTAACTTATTTGTAAGTAAACAACTTACATGAATAAAATTTATTAAAGGATTAAATTTTAATTGGTTGCAGAATAATAAATGTAAATATTTAACCTTTACAATATAGCGAGAAAAATAAACTTTTGTTGGAGTAAATACGCAGCTCATTACAACAAAATAATAATTTTTAGATAAAAATATAAATAGGAATAATAAATAAAATGGGTGTGACTTAGTATACATCAAATATCACTGCCTTAACAAACAATTTAACACTCTTACGGAATGGAGCACGGAGCTTGGAAACATGGAAGGATGCTAAAATTGCTTTGATGTCGCGTCAAATGAAGCCAACAAAATACAGTCGACAATTCTAGTAACTACACTGTGAAAAAAATCTGAAAATAAATTGTAGCAACTCATTAAAAATAGAACAACATCATACATATTCGTACATCCATTTATTTATGTACACAACGCTACAAATACAAGTACGTATCACAGCTGGGAATGTTCTCTTACATATAAATCTGTCAGTACGTATTTATATAATAATTGCGATTTTGCAAGTATCTGAAAAAATAGCTAAAGGCAACGTTTTCAACAAAAGCACAAAATAAACAAATCGTTTTAAATCCTCAATTAAATGTAGCCAGTGCATGGGAAAAACAAAATGCTTAAGGTACAGAGCACCTTACAGTCGGTTTTAATGAATATAGGAGTATTGACGTCAGACTAGAAGTTTATGGAAAAAAATAAATATATATTAAACAGTTTTCGTATTGTAAAATAAAACCATATAAATGGAAAACTGAAAAATAGAAACTGACTGATAAAATTAGGAATTTGGAAGATCGCATTTTTAGCAATTCTCCAAACTATGCTTACTATGGCAATATCAGCTTTTTTAACTGTCCGTATAAGATTCTGATATATGCTGTTCGAAAGATTGAAGCCAATCGTTATCTAACTGCTTGGATCTTATCAGTATGGCTTTTGACCAAGTAAGTCTACTATTGACCAGATATTCATAGTGCGTTAAATCCTGATGATACCCAAGAAAAGCAAATTCATCAATAAGCCAATATCGAAATTACTTGATTATGACTGAATGCACTCTTTATACCATTTCATTTGAATTTGATGTACCATCAAACAAGAAAACAGTGTCGTGAACTGACTTCGTTAGAGTTAGGAATTCTCTATTTGAGTTTATCGGTACCAAACGAGGTTTCAGAGAGCGTGACTTTTTATCCTTTGACTTTTTTAAAGTAGCATTATCTGGACTTATTTTACTTTAGTTTTAACATCAAAAATAACGTCAGCCTAGATATTTTATGAAGTATCTGCTTCTTTGGGCCTAGAAAGCAATTCAAGAATGAAGCAAACTCTCTACAAATAAAAATCATACTCCTATTATATCGTTACTGAAATATAATGCAGAAACTAAGATAAAAACTAACAGTAATGAGAAGGGATTAATAAACATTCGAAAGAAAAATTCTTCGGATGATCTATAGTCTTATAACATTGTTAACGAGTTTTGAATTATATAAGACTATGAACTATAACGTGACATAACCAGTTTTATTAATTTGGTCAAATCATGCGAATAGATGAAATTCGTTCGGTTAAAAAGGTTTTTGAATCGGTGCCCACTGATAAAAGCATTGCGAAGAATATCTTCATATTTCCGGGAAGAACTAATATATTTAATCCTTTTATTCCTAGGTGGAACAGAGGGCCGTAGAAGAACTAATATGATTATAAAATATTTAGTGGTACCAACTAGCAAACCGTAGAACAGGATATCTGATAGAGGCTGCACTGTGCAAGTCCAAAGACGATACGTGCCTTTTACATACCTTAAGATAGTTTGTCTCATATTCAAATTCAAATAGATAAAAGAGCACAAACGATAAATAATAATAATGCTATAAATATTATACACAAATGATCGTAACTATAAAGTTCAATCATCTTCTTTATTCTACGTAAAAAATGTCACGTTAATTGCTTGGTTGGATGCAGTGACTGATTAGTACATACCATATCGACAGTCATAATTATAAATTTTTTTGCTTTTTTAATTCCAGTTTCCTTGCAAAAACCTGCTGTAGGTAAACTAGATTCATCCAGTTGAGTTTATGTAATTTAACAAATCTTATATTCTTTTACTGATGAATAAACTGACAAGCTGTCAGGAACGTAGTTCCCAAAATCGGTTCCCTCAGTAAACTAAATCTGGGTAGTTATACAAAAAGTGTGTGATTCTTTTCTTCATTAAAGTTTCCATAACTTCTAGGATAACTATTTAACGATAGGCGCAGATAATCTTAATGGGTTTCTATATAGTACAATTGGCCTAGCATCATGGACCCAGTCTATGCTAATAAGTTTCTAGGAACTTATTTAACTTTTATTAAAATAAAATATAATCAAATAATAATTTTAAGTACATGATTCGTAAACTAAGTTCGGAAACCAAAAAGAACTATTAATTTGAAATTAATTTTTTCACTTAAATCAGAACAACTGATTCTAGCGCTTAAAATTATAGCTCAGTGAACTTTTATTTACAATGTACACAAGTGAGTAGCAGTTCTGGATATTACAGAACAAATGGGTGTCAAGTCGCAGGAGGAGTCCCACTCTAAAACGCATAGACACTCTTATTTACATGTGTGCCGTGAGTGAGTGCTGTGATGATATTTGTTTTGTCACATTAAAGCAGTTGGAAAAATGTAATAAAAAGATAAAAAAAAGTTCATAATAATAAACAAATGACAATAAATTGTGAAAAATATATAAAATTTCTATTTAAAGCCGCAGTTCAACACATTTCAATTGTTTTCCCACAGCAACTCCCAAATGCTGTCTCCAATTACCAGTAAGTAAGGACAAATCGTTATTGCTGCCTTCCGGATTGCTTGCTATAAACACGAGTACAATTTCAGGAGACAAAATAGCAGCGTAACACTTAGTTCAAAGGAACAAAAATAACTGTTTACGTTAATGTTGACAAAATAAAAATAAATTTAATGATAACAAATCCTGAGTTCACCATTTTGGTTGCCATGGCAAATATGTTCAAGTGAAGCTTCAAAATTAGAAAATTGCATTACTCCTTTGAGTACGAGTAATGGAGTATCTTCGCGACTCCTTGCGGTGTGCGTCCCAATACCAAAAACATCTGCAATTGAGTTTCACTCCACCATTTATCAAATATTGAGCTCACTTTGATAAGTTAAAGACGACGTTTTCGATACAATGACAAGAAAAAGATTAAAGTTGGCAAAGCAAATAATTTACAAAAATATTGAGGAAAAATTTTCGATGGCAACGAAAATAAGACAAGATACTGACAGTCTGAGCAAAAAAGGGAGTACCTTTAGGGAAGCATACTTTCTCCAATGCTTTTTACAGAGATTTCATTATTTATTTTAACTCATTCTATTTAAAAAAACTTTTTTTAGTTCAATTTCCGAATGATAACATAAACTATTTACCAAGAAAACACACTTTTAATTGACAAGAAAAGTTAAATTTTAAGTAGAATTATTATT